TCTCTCTCTCTCTCTCTCTCTCTCTCTCTCTCTCTCTCTCTCTCTCTCTCTAGATCTTCCACTTCTTGCCTTCGTGTTCCTCTTTCTCTGGCCTTTCCGATTTGTGTTCACCGCACAATTCCGTTACATTCCTTACCACTACGCACGTGTTTCCCCACAACTCTCTCTCTCTCTCTCTCTCTCTCTCTCTCTCTCTCTCTCTCTTTCTCTCTCTCTCTCTCTCTCCCCCACCTCTTACCTTAGTTTTCCACTTTCTCTGGCCTATCCGATTTGTGTTCACCGTAACTTTTAGTTTTAGCGTTGTGACATGAATGTACACACTTTGGGTCCTACAGCTTGTGTAGTTATTTATATTTTGAATGTTCCCGATGAAGCCCGCAGAGGGCGAAACGTTGAATGTGTCATAAAATATTTTGGACATACTACCAAGTCTCAACTGTTTGACTATCTGCTCTATACAATGATGATGATGATGGTGATGATGATGATGATGATGATGATGATGATGATGATGATGATGATGATGGTGATTAATACTAATGTACATTTGGCTCTTCGTTTGGATGAATGACTTTAAAGCATTTCGTTCACAATTACCCCTGAAGATTTTAAAAACATCACCTTACCATTCAGGGTTCATAGCTTTTGTGCTTGGAAGGCGCATCAACAGAAGAATTAGTCCAATCGAAATGACTGAGTGGTTTTTGAACATAATGGTAATGTCACTTCCAGCCACAGAATTCAACAAATTTGCTTAAAATACAGCAAAACAAAACAAAAAACTTGTCAAAGTTCACCAGCCGTGTGCGGACGTATTAACTTGCAACGAATTCCATGCACAACGTTCCACACGCATAATTTTTAAAAACGTAAACCACTATAACGTTACTTTTATAGTTCTTTAAAAGAAAATCTGCTTAGATATTTACTCTGTTCCACTTTGTAAGTACAAGAATATTTATTTGCCGTTCAGAGCTGAATTAATCATTGTCGAGGCATGTGCACAACTAACGATGTCCGTTTGACCAAAGGCCAAATATCTACAGGTCGTGCTCCACACAGAGGCTAGCGGCGACAGCTGCTTCAGAACATGAGTTGCCTGTGGCGTGTCCTTGGACTGGAAACGTTTACATGAAAATCCGACAACAACAACAACAACAAAAACAACAACAAAAAAGAACCCCCCCCCCCCCCCCAAAAGACAACAAACCCCTCCCCCCCCCCAAACGAACAACAACAGCACAAAACAAAACAACTCACCAACTCCCAAAAACAAAACTAAACTGGATTATATTTTTGGTGTCTGTTTATATTTAGTTATGTTTTTACCTACTATTCTATTCATTTTGAGGCGGAAAGGGAGTTTAGATCATAATTATACGAGTTTGACGGCACTTGCAACACAAATAGGTCATCTAAGTGCCAAAGGTTACTGGAGAGTAACATACGAACAAATGAAGGCCAGATAAGAACAATAATAATAATAATAATAATAATAATAATTGCATTTATATAGTGCATATCCATGTTCAAGAGCACGCTCTATGCGCTTTACAACTATTATTACCCCAGCAGACCCACTGAGAACACTCAGAAACATACTCGGCTTCCGCGGAAGCATACAGTGCAAGCTGCGGATTTCACGCGCTCAAACACTATCAAACTGACAAGATCGTTCACTGTCTATAGCCGGGTACCCATTTCCACCTGGGTGAAGTGGGGAAAATTTGTGCAAAGTGCCTTTCCCAAGGACACAACGTCGGGCCCCTGACGGGATTCGAACCCACGACCTAACGGTTGCGAGTCCGAGAGCTTAACCACTAAGCCACCGACGCCACAATACAAACTACTACAAAGCACCTGCCAGCCACCAACATGTAAATAGCTTGGTGACTATTTTGAGTTTTGCTTTTTAAAATTCCATTACAAATCTAGATATCAGCCTTTTAACAACATCCAAAAAATATGTCGTCACACAAAGAAAATGATATCCAGCTCCCCCCCCCCCCCCTCGCCACACACACACACACACACACAAACACACATACACACACACGCACACACACACACACACACACACAAACACACACACACACACACACACACACACACACACACACACACACGCACGGACACTATTTCCCCTTATTTTTACTATTTTCAATCAGGCAGAAACGAGTGGCGCCCCCACATTGAAAGGAATGCTCGATTCATGGATTCAAGAGCCAGACAGAACACATCGGAAACCACAGAGAAAACATCCCAGTAGACGGATTGATATAGAGAGTTTGGAGCAGTTTATACCTCCACTATGCACGTAATGATCAGACACGGGAAAACTGAAGACAATGACACATAGTACGAATGAAATGTACACATAGCTAGCTACACAACGCGATCCAGCAGCCTAGATGTTATCACGAGAGAGGCAGCTGGCTTTTTCGAAAAGAAAAATGTCTGTAACAAGACTGGAAAGAGAGCGCAGCACAACTATGAGACCGGCAGGAAAGAAACGAAAAGGAAAGAAAAAAAAACGGAAAAGAAAGAAAGGACCGAGGTCATTGGCATCAGTACCCCTCGTCGACCTTTGAGGTCAAGAGATACGAGAAAGATTGCTTACAGAAATAAGAATCATGAGCTAAAAAGAAGGCGACGCTATATGGAAAGGAAATCTGAATAGGGGGATAAGAGATATTGTTGATGTGAAACACATTCTTACCAGTCCACATACGGGTAATATTATTGACACAGAATGATTCTTTTCTATTTCTTTTGCTACCATTCACATACTTATTTCGAGGAGAAAAATAACATTAGCCACACGCCACTGAGAAATAAAACTCAAAAGCACGGTTATCAAACATCTCAA